CATTCCAAAAAAATATACATGGTAATAAGCTCTAAGTATAAGGAAAAGATGCGTATGTAAACTTTCATTTTTGCTCATAATCTATTGTTCACTAAAAAAAAATTAGGAGAAATATAGACAAAGTTAATGTGGAGTCTCTCTGTTTATGAGAAAAACAAACTATATATAAGATACTCTTATAAGATCCATATACGGAAAAGATGCGCATGTTAATTTTTTTTTGCTAATTCTGTCTGAAACCGCGCTTAAAGAAATTTTTTAGAAATTTTTAAATTATTTTATTTTACCAAATAATATTAAAGTTAAGAGATGATTTGTGTGGAATATATAAGTATAGAAATTGTCGCTTTGGTATAAACCCGTATTTTACTGGTTAGGAAAATTAGGATATACACATAAAGAAAAAGAATAAAAAAGGACAGTGTGGAATAGACTTACAAAGACCCATGTTTTTACGGGTCCGGTCAGGCGTTTCAAGCAGGTATTTAGAGAGGAATCCAATTGGCGATTTACGCAACGTAACATTATAGTAACATTTAAACTTTATTAAGGTTAACTATAATAGAAATTTTTATTTTTCATTGATTTAAGAAGGAAACAACAATGATAGTTTTTCTACATGTATATACCTTTTTTTCTTCAGCTCACTACAAAATATTGAAGTAAGGAATAAGTATAGAAAAAGGCGATGTGGAATAAATTTATAATTTATGTGGAATAATTTTGGAAAAAGGCGATGTGGAATAAATTTACCAAGACCCGTCTTTTACGGGTCATGACAGCTAATATATCTATAAAATGAAAAAACTGTTTAATTTTATTTTAAATTTTAGAAACCTTTTTTGCTAAATTATTATTTCTTTGTTACAAGTATATAAGCATTATTTAAAAAATGTCAAAGTTTATTACAGTGAAGAAAAGTCTTAAACCCCTAAAACAAAACTGATGACAGCGCACTTAACTACTGAGCTATCAAATGAAATGCATTTAGTAGAAAAATAAATCTAATTATAAGTCTTTTATAAGCTCTACATATGCAGAAAAGGTGCATATGTTAAGTTTTTTACTCTTAAATGTTTTTTTTCAGAATAAATTGTTTTACTAAAAAATATTGAATTAAATAAGGAATAGGTATATAAATAATCAGTGCAGAACAGATATGGAGAGAAATGTTAGGCTCGGGCAAGGCCCTTATTTTATAGATATGGAAAGCTAGGACGTATAGGGAAAAAGTAAAGAAAAGTTTGGTTTGGAATAGACTTACAAAGACCCGTATTTTTGTGGGTCCGATCTCAGCTAGTATATATATAATAACAATATATATATATATATATATATATATATATATATATATATATATATATATATATATATATATATAATAACAATATATATATATTAGGGTGGTCCTTATTTTACAACTTTTGAATTTTAATACGGGCGCCCCCTAGGAGGGATCCAATTGTTCAAAAACAAAATACCCTGAAAGATTTTTACAATTAAATAATATTTAGGGTATGCTCAATGACCCGGAATTTTGGTGTATGTCCCCGAGCTGTCCAGCCACGCCATAATGCCAAAAGTATGAAATAAGGACCACCGTACCGACTGTGGCAGGGTTTGTTTTAGCCTGATCTCCTTTGTTGCTTACTTTAACGTGCTTTTGTCTACACTAGTTGCTTGTGAACATGTGTTTTTTATTTGTGTTATAGAAATTAATTAATAAAGTTGCCATGGCAGTATCGACAAGGAAGCAGTCTGAGACATATTTACTTGGGACAGTGAAAGAAGAGTTTACAGGCGCTAAATTGCCATCAATACAGGACGTCCTTGGTGTGTTTTTTTACCATCTGAAGGTCGTTGAAGAAACGAAGCATTCAGCTGCCAAAGAAACAATTCGACAACTCTTCACGTACTGGAGCCGTGCAAGAATACCAGTCCGGGATGAACGAAGAGCAGTAAAGAAGTTGGAAGATTTGGTTCTGACTTGGGATAACCTTAAGAAAAACAAAAACAGAAAAACTGAAACACAGAAGAGGAATGAAGAAGCTTTTATTGCTGAGTTTCCGAATCTGTTTGATATTTCTCATGGCGATGCTCTGCAAATGATAAACATTGAAGAAGATAAGCAATTTTTGCTTGCTCAACGGGAACCTGGTAGGCGAGGATCTATGGCAGGATTGGACAAGAACTTGGAGAATAAGGAAAAGGAGAAAGAAAAACGAGATAACCAAATGAAGAAGAGAAAAGATGCTAGTGAGGAAGCGAAAAGGAAAATGTTTGACACGGCTGTGCTGGAAGACACCTCCTCCGACGAATCAGTGACAGGCATGCTGTTCACACTGTGATCAGTGATTTCTGCAACAGGCCAGAACGCGGCAGAATTTGCTGTGAACCGATCTTCCGTTCGCACGTACCGGCTGAAGCATCGAGAACTGAGATCAAAGGAACTGAAAGTAGAGTTTCAAAGTCACGGAAAGCCTCTAACTATCCACTGGGATGGAAAGCTGATGAAGGATTTGACAGGAGATGAAAAAGTAGACAGATTGCCGATTGTTGTTTCTTCTGATGGTGTTGACCAGCT